CGACGAGGGGAGTAAAAACTCATAAAAACGACATTAGGCAAATGGAGCACGTAGTGCCCCAGCCGCCGTCAGAGATGACTCGACAGCGGATCAGGGCTGGGATATAAACAAAATATCAAAATGAAATCAAACAAATAATCTGCGAGCAAAACAACATCACAACAGAAGCCCCACAAATGAAGCGCGTACACGAGTACACATACTTGTAAGCGAACTGGAGGCTGTCTTGGTGCGTGGCATGGGCTGAGAGTCGCCATGAAAATACCCTACTGGGCAGATGGAACTAATTTTATTTTGTATTTTGTATGTACGTTAGACGAGTACACGTTTCGCTACAGGGTATCCGAGGATGTGCTCTCAAGTGGTAAACGAAATCAAAGATGCGACTGTAAAAAGCTACATATTTTTTCATTGACTCCCCTCTTGACACTCGCACTCGACAGTCGCACTCATTCCGGACTAGCCATGCCAACAGGCAGCGCCAAGTGAATAGCAGCTTGTAGTCATGTAGCCCCAATGTAGCAACAACGTCGCGGTATCTCAAACTGCGTATCAGTTGCTGCTGTTGTCGCCTCGCTGTTTCTGCCACTGCTGCCCCTGCCACTGCCCCTGCTGCTGCTGCTCACGCACACGTTTCACGCTTTTTGCTGTTGTTTCCCCCAACCATATTCCCCTGTTCCAACGTCATTGGCAGCCATTTTAGCTACCGGTTTTACGCGCCAAAGTCTCCATAACTTTTGCCACATGCCATTCAACGCACATTGTTCGTGCTGCTATGTTGTTGCTGCTGCTGCTGCTGCTGCTGCTGATAGCTTGTCCAACTGCATTGTGGCTTCTTCTTAAGGATTGAACATTCAATCAGTTGGAGGGGTATATTCACTCCGCCACCAGCGGTTATGTGCGGCGCATTAAAAGTTCAAAGAAATGCGCAATTAATACATACAAAATGGATGTTCAGTTGCAGCATGGATTTGCAGTATATCACTTGCAATCACTTATTGGCTAAGAATAAGATCTATGTGCAGGAGATGCCTAAAGTGCAGGGTGTTGCTCCTGTCGACTCATCCGTTATCCACGGCTTGCTTATGAATTCCTTGCAGAGAAGCAGAGAAGACTTCTGTCCAACTGTCGCATAGTCAGTCGCTGTATGTGACTCGCATGCGATTGCCATTCCCCGAACTGGCTCTGCGCTCTCTCTTCTGCTCATCATCATCATTCTAACTCTCTTTCATTTCATTTCGTTTCGTTTTGCTTTGCTTTGTGTGTATGTGTGTATGTGTGTTGGTGGGGTATGTTTGTCAAAAGTTTGCCATGGCAATGGCAAAGCGCATTATTTGATTATGCAGCTATAGCGAGAGAGAAAGAGCTCAAGAGAGCCAATTCCAAGAGCATCCCAGAGTGGAGGTTTGTGTGATGCGATCCTTGAACCGAGTTTCCTCCGGCACTTGCATAACATTTTAAGCGGACTTCCCCTTTTGGCTGACCAAAAGCTTTCAGCAGACTCTACTGCCACTCTCTGCTTCCTGTCCCCAAGCATTGCATTTCATAAATCATTCATACGGTAAGTATTTTTATGCCATTCAATAAGATGCGTTGCTCTCAATTGCTCTCGCTCTTCTTTTGGCTGTTAGTTGTCCTCCACTGCTTTGCTCTGCTCCGCCCTGGATAAATTATGCTAATTTCATAGCAGCCCTCCCACTCCCTCTTTCGGCTTGCTCTTTAATAACTTGACAAATAAAGAAGAGAACTCTCTCTTTGACTGCCTGCCAAGGCATATAATTTTGCTAAGGCGCAACAAATTGCTAATTTTCCTTTGCTCTGCCTTCTGCCTTCGTCGCCTTTCTGTTTCTGTCTCCGTTAATTTGCATATTTCTTCTTCCTCTTATAAATGTAAAATAATTGTTGAGCAGCAGCAAAAAAGAAATCGTAATAAATTGTAGACAAGTAAAGGAAATTGTTGCGTCTGGCTGGACTTCTCCCTAAGGAAGTGCTTATGTACGTGTGTGTGTGTGTGTGTGTATGTTTGTTCGGAATCAAACGGTTAACCAATTGAGTTCGTTTAGTATGCCACACACAGAGCAAGTGTCAGAATGGAGAAAATGTCCTCAGCTGGACATTTATGCAGGTGATTCATAGGCCTTGGCACCCCACCCCCTCTTCTGCTCACTCACCACTCTCTTAAAAGGGAAATCCATCAAATGAGCTGCCAACGCGTTTTGCAGTCAATACAAATTGTTAGCTTCCCTTTCGGTACTCTCTCGCTCGCTCTCTACCCCACTCTGCTCGTACAGTTATTTACTTTTCTAGAAGTGTCGGGCGCCGGGGCGAGATGCGAAGGTAGGGCAGGGTATATCTGTGAGCATTATTCAATGTTTGCAACGAACGTGAGCAAATTACAAATTCAATGCACGTAGCCGACGGCAAAAGCTTCCAGCCTGAAGCCTCTGTCTCTGTCCCTGTCTCTGTTTGCCTAAAGCTCTGTTGTTGCTGCTCTTCCCTTCCTCCATCATCGCCAATGCCCAAGGCAGCAACAACTGTCTCTGCTGCCATCTCCCTCTCGCACCGACGACACATTAAAATAATGTATTTTTAAATTTAACATTAATTGTCGCTGAATGGTTCCTGAATGGGCTGCCACGTAGCCGTTCCTCATCGGGCCCGGGCCCGACCCCGGACTCCTTTCCATTTACCGTTTTCGCGGCGAACCATCACAAGGAGTGCCAGCCAGACCCCCAAACCCCCAAGCACCCAGATCCCCTCTCCCGTTCGTTAGTCTTTTGCAGTGCATTAAGTCGTCATTTTTTTCGGTAGATTTTCCCCATAAATCGTCTTTGCCTTTGACTCTGGGATGTTAATGTTTTTATATAAGATGCGATGGCTGGAAATATGCTTTTTATGGCTTTTGGCATTTTGCATGCATTAGCGGGTCGCTGGCTGGGTCTGCCTGTTGCCAGAGTGAACATTTTTGATTATATTTGTTAAGCAATTGAAAAATTTTGCATCGCAAAGCAATTAGGCGGAGAGAAGGGAATTCCGATATGGAAATTGCGTCTCAAAGTGACGGAAAAAGAGAGGTGAACGGTCCGCAGGATCCAAGGGAAGAGGGAGAATAAAATATATTTATATTTATTATATTTATATGCATAAATATCTCATAAGCGAACAAATGTGACTGGAGCTGCAGACTGACAATTCGTTATTAATGTATTGGAAAATGTAAACCACTCACCACACTCTTTATAACTTTAGTCTTTAGTCTTCCCTTAAACTATCCATTTATAGAGGCGCTCCCCCTAGTTCGGACATTTCGTGGCTGAATCCTCGATTTAATCCATCAAATTCTCTGATGGGATTTCCCGTTCACATTGATTGACTTATCATACGAAATCCACATTTCCCAAAGCTTTGCCTAAGCCAGATAATTTCCCCGAAGATTGGCCCCCAAATGCAGCAATAATCCAGTGTTAAGCACAAACCAAACCTCGCACTCGAACTCTCACTCCTTCCCTTCCCTGTTTCTCCACCCGTAAATTACCTAACTGTCCATTAAGGAGGCCCAGCTAATGTTGGGCTATATAAGTGGCCACCCCCTGCCTTCCGCAACCCACATCCACATCCCAATTGTCTATGACTTTCATTCGATTTGCCTAACAAGCCATAATCATGTGCTGCTGTATTTAATTACTGCCGTCTGGTCATATTGGAAATTGTCGGGAATGGGGGAAAGACAGAGCAAGACGGGGAGCAAGAGAAGCGTGGGAGTGGGGATGGGGTGAGCACCCCACAAGGAATTGGCTTTAGGAGTTTTGGCCCCGAATTTCGAAAGCTCCATTATGCCAAACACAATTGAGTCATTAAGCCGCAATCTAATTAAGCCCGAAAATGTGAAATGAGCCAAAAGAATGGCCAAAAAGCCTCTAGTTCTCTTCTGGCTCTTCTGGGCCTCGTGTTGGCAAGGAGAGAGGCTTAGAGAGAGCGCGTTGGGCGAATTAGTTTGGGTCTTGTTCTTTGACTCCACCCAAGAACGAACCGAACCTGAACTCCAACTCATCTAAAGTCCACAAATTTTTACGGCACTTTAACGTGACCATTTTAGCCTGGCATTTTTGGTGGCCGGCAAGATTTATTTCGTGTCTGCTTTCGACCACGTAGGTCATTAAATTGTTTAGAAATCGCGGACGTAAACCCAGCTCGCCTCAGCTCCTCCCGAAAGTATCTCCGTATCCAGGCAGACCCAAATAACCCAACCCATGCTGAGGCCACATTTTCAAATGAACCACAAAATGACTATGAAACGGACGGCACACGCACTGTGCACTGTACAGTGGGACAGGCACTGCTGCCAACAGGCAAATTATTTCATCAACTGAATGGTCTTTTAATATTCTTTTCCATTAGCTTACAAATTAAAACGGGTTGGTGATTAGCAGTTCTTTCGGCAAAATTTAAAGTTTCGTAAAAGTTTTTTGAAGATTTTTGGATATTTGTGGATGTTTTCGATTCCTATGAAATTTCAAAAGACACAGAAAAGTGTAGTCTAATAATATTTAGATCGCTCGGAATTATGACCAAAAATAATATACAAAGTTCAATAGTTATATTCCATATACAAAATCACTCCGAAATCACTCGACAAATTTTTTCAAATACAATTTACATTTATGTCGCGTTGCTTGCCCACAAAGCCCACCGTTCGGCCTGTTTCATCGCTTATTTTTTAGGGTTTTCTTCAAGTTTTCTCCCTCGTCCGGTCCGAGATGGTAGGCTGAACCTCAGCCACGAGAAATAGATACAGATACAGTTAATGCCACAAATGATGTCTAATGACGGTTTCGCCTTACACGATGAAATTGCCTCCAGGCTGACGAAATGGTTGAGGGCTTTTTGGGCTGAGAGTGTGTTACCGATAGAGATTTATGTGTATAATGGATGGATGCCCCACAGGTTCAAGGTCGCTGTGTTAGTAAATCAATAATAATATTTTTTGTGGGTGGACTTACCTTCAACTTTGGCCAGGGCCAGGACAGAGATGGTCTGCAGGGCGGGCACCGCCCAAGCAACCAAATGGAATAAATGCGATTTATTTTCAATTGCTTCGTGGCCCCATTTGAGGCCGGCGGCCAGGAACCAGGCGAACGCGAGGCACGACCACCACGCGAAGGCGGCCATGCAGCAGAAATACAATGCCATGAATAATACGGTGCAGGCGGTCGTCTGACGATGGCCCTGCAACAAACCAAAGGCAAACAGAGAAGTTGGTCAATAAAAAATAGGAAACGACAGAAACAGAAGCAGACTTGTCATGGAGGTCCGAATATTACACGATTCGATCTTGCTCAGAATATTCAAGATTTTTATGGAATATCATTTATTGAAGTTTCGTTGGATTATATCGGTAGATAATGATAGTTGTTCATACAAAAGGTTTCCTTATGCATAGAATAAAGATCGATATTAATATATTGGAAAACAAAAATGTGAACACATGAGGAACTGTCTGACTATTGATGTATACCTCTCTTTGGAGGTTTAACGAGAATCGACAGTGGAATCTTAATTGTGAATATTCCAATAGGTTGCGTACGATATACGGACATACATATGTATGTATGAATACATATCTCAATAATGATTAATAATGAATAAAATCCGTGCGTGCAAGTCCTCTGCGGGGGTATATCAAATGGGTCTTGTCGCCTTTTACCTGTGTTATGGTGGACATCATCTGCAGACGGCCGAGCTTGACTGGCGGCGGAAATGGTTCGCGGCACGACACGGAGTCGCCCGCTCCCAGACCGGCCACGTAGGCGCAGCCGACGACCAGATAGCAGACTGCCAGGAAGACGATGGCCCGCTCGGGGTAGCGAAAGCGGGACGAGTCGATCAGGAAGGTGAGCACCTGGAAGGAGGAAAAGAATGCAACATATTAAATATGAATTTGGATTTAATTATTGTGTGTTTGCCTTAATTAAGCCGAGCTTCTTTGGGATTCTCTTAAAATCGCATTAGGCTCTGGGTGGGGGCCTTGTCCCTGGACCACTGCCTGCTGGTCATTAGGCACTACACATTAGCTGATTGTGATTGTTGTGGCATTTACTCTCAAGAGGGGTCCCATTTGTTTCGCAAGGTTTCGCTTCCCTCTCGTTCGGGGTTGGCCTTAATGAATATGGCCAAAAATGTCCTTAGCTGGAATGGGTCTGAGGTGTACCTGAGGCAATGATGATGATGGCAACAAAAACTGCTTTAATTTGTTTTGTCTCATTTCGCATGATCTCTTTGGTACATCCGATGCCAAACCAAAGGTTTCTCGGAAACCCTTTTCTACATTTCCATCTTCCAGTGAAACTCTTCTGCCTTGCGAATTTCCTCTCGAATTTCGTGTGTGGGTGTGGCACAAACAAAAGTCTCCGAATATTTTTCCCCGACTTGAGGAAACTTCACCCACAGATGTCTCTTCTCTCTCTCTCTCTATGCCCGCCCACTGACGCATAATTTGTGGGCGTTTCCGGGGCGTTTGGGAGACAAGTCTTCGCTTGTGTCTCTGCTGCTGCTGCTTCCAAATGTTTTCGAAACATTTTCAGCTTATTTCGTTTCATTTGTAGCTGGTCACACCTACAAAACCCCTCTTCCACACGCCTCTCATGCGTGGCACAACAAATTGCTAGACAGCAAGAGGCAGGGATGGGTAGATGCTGCAGGAACTCCCCGTTGGTTGCTTGTATTTGCAGCATGGCATAAATAAACAATTCAATTCAATTGCTCAGCTTTTCTCTGTCTGTCGACAAAACGAGTTACAAAGTGAAGTGACTCACTGGCACCCTATCCCCAGCCCAACCCAGCCCAGCCCCTTCCGATCCTCTACAAATAACCGCACACTTAGCATATATGTACATACATGTGTATATATGTACTGCGTACATATATGTAAATGATGAGAGTGGCATGGGCTGAGAGGGAAGGGGAAAGAGCACCATGCGTAGGTGGAAATTAGATGTAAGCTGGCTAAGAGAACTATAATTTCAGAGGAGAAAAACGATTTCCAAATGAATAAATTTTCGGTTCTGTGGGAGACAGGGAACGAGAGGGCGATGGAGAGTCGCAGTCTGAGGAGTGCGTTTCTGCATCTATGAATAATTCAAAGGTCTAGTCGTGGTAACAATAATACTCGCCGCATTAATGCAAGGCTAACAACACAAACACACACGCACACTCAGATACACACACACACACATGCGAGTGCGTATGCTGAGCTCCATCCATATCACCCCAAAAACCCAACTGTTTCTAGCTGATAGTTTTGTTCGAGTAGAATAATGATCAAATGAAATGACTTTGCTGGGGCTTGTTTGTGCCGCTTTCAGTTTCGGGACTTTCGGGGTTGTGAGGGTCTGCTCGTAGACAAAGGACCGCCTTGGCCTGGCTTAGTGGGGCGGGAATGATAATGAATGTAGAAGCAAAGGAGTGGCCCAGGGAATGGGGGGAAAAAGAAAAAAACATCTAGAGAGAACCTCCGCCATTTGTCTTTGCTGCGTGTGCTCAGACTTAAATTGCTTTAAGGCTGTAAAGAAGTGTCAACTCTCAGGACCCCTATGAGCAGGAGCCTCGATTTTATTTTTATTTATGTTTCACTGTTGCAAATTATGTTTATTCGCTGTACAAACTTCTCATATATAACTTTAAGCACCAACCAAACCAATCAAATCCGATCGCTTAGACCCCTGGCTGTTGCCATTCCAACGTAATTCCACCCACAAAAAATTAACCTCTTTCGTAGCCACTTTCCACATTTCCACCGCCTTCGTTTAGGCTTCTTTCGCCTCGAAATAAATTATTTAACTCACACCGCGCCTTTCACGGTCAACAGGGAAAAAAAAACAAATATAATTTCAATTTTAGCGCTCATAAATTTCCTTGGCTTGGGTCATTAAAATCAGCCCAAAAACTAAAATGGTTACACCCACAGACCTCCCACCTCCCGCCAGCCGCAGCTCCCCTCTCCCACCTACTGTTGGAGTGTTGAAAACTAAAAGCCACAGAAGAGCTTGGAGAGCTTTGCCAGCGGTTGGTTGGCAGTTTTTGAATTTTGCATAAATTAGATTTAACTCAACTGACAAAAAAATACTTTGAACAAAAATTGCATAAATTTGCATAGGGAAATAACAGCAATGAGATAGTTTTTATTGTTTTTAGTAGGTCTGGAGGGTGGAGCGGATCGTCTATTATAACAACTAACTATTAACATAAACATTTCAGTCAGGTTGGGCAGCGAATGCGGCATAAATTTGTGGTAACTGTTTGAGGTTTTCTGCTCGCTGTCTCTGACAGTTTCGACGTTTATGGAATATTCATTTCAATGATTAAAAATTGCGAGGCAGATAGCCCATTTAATAATTATAATTATTAATCGTTTTGGGAGCACACGACAAAAAAAAACACATAAAATCAAATGTTGAAACCTAAAATCACACATCACAAAAAGAGAGCGTTAATTGGGTTCGATAGGGAGAAATAATTATTCGGCTTGGGATATTATATTTATATTAAATTATAGACATAACCCATCTGTACGGTTGGATAGTTAGATATTATTAATATTTAAATGGATATCTAGACTGGGCCATTTATCAACATTTAAAGCCTGTGGATCCCCAAAAGGATTCCTTCTATTTAGCTTTCAACTAACATCTGCACCTTTACCTTTGGAAATATTTGCCTCACTGAACATTCAGTTCCACGTGTCGCGCTCTCAGTACGAGTATTACTTTTAGTTTTCTGGTTTTCAATTTTAGTTCCCCTGCTCAGGTTTAGTAATTAAGGAAAAGTCATCCGAGTCAGCAACAACGAAACGACAAACGAACATCCTCCATGTTTATTTGCTATTCCGCCCCTGCCCCTGCCCCTGTCCCTGTCTCCGCTCAGGCTTGCCTGTTTTCCCCTTTCAGCTATCAAGCCATTTTCCTCCTCCACCCAAACACACACACATTGTCATTTCCTCTTTTCGCTTTTCATTGGAAAACAAATGTCAAGTCAGAGAGAGAGAGAGAGAGCGAGAGGGAGAGACACACTCTGCCCGACAGACAGAGTCATTGTCTCATCTCATCTAATGCGTTTAATGAAAAAGGTGTTGATTGTTGACAGTTGATGTGACACACTCCCACGTCCTCTCTATCACCTGCACCCTCCCCTCTAGACCCATCCTCACCCATCACCGCATGACAGTAAGTTTTCCCTTCAGAAATTTGCCGTCACTTTTACCTGTCTGACATTCGGAGCCCTCAACTTGAGACAAAAGTTTCTGGTGCAAAAATATTTGTTCTAGTTTCAGTTTCGCGAAAATTGAAATAAAATTTGTTTGCTTATAATTTCAGTTGATAGTGGAAATGAAAAGCCCCAAAGGTTTTCCCCGGGTTACTATCTGTAAGTTGGGCAAAAGTTGGAGCTGTCAGGGAAAATTTGTTGGGGAATAAGTTGAATGCTGGGAGGCGAATGATGTTTCCTGCTTGGCTTAAAGTTGTCTCAAGAAAATCCATGCTCTAACAAACAATTTAATCAAATCAAGGCATCAAAATTCTTTCATTTCAAATTGGAGATACAACTTTTATTAAAGCCCAAATTGTGAATATTTGTCTTTAAAATTCTTTCACTTGGTAGAAAAACTATTCATTCATTTCATCTAAATTTCAATATGTATTTTTCCTCTTTTACCATTTTATTTTCAAATGTTTTCTCCTACATATTTTTCATATTATTGTTTCAAATATTTTTTCTGATATGTTAATCAATTATTTTAGGTTTTCTTTTAAATGCCATAACTTGTATTCCTAAACAAATATTCCCATTCCCATTCGCCTCGTTCCATTCAATTAGTTGAGCAGTTTATTTATTGAATAGCAAATGCCCAGAAATGTCACAACTAAATCTAAATAAATGTGAACTATTTCAAAGTAGAAAGGCAAACAATCATCTGCATCCTCGTATATTTTTCCTCCATCTACCGCGTACATACACTGACATATGTACATATCCGTACGTACATACATATATCCTCATAAGCTTCAACTGCAATTTTCTAATGCTCTCGTGTGCCATATATTTTTTACCATTGCCATTTGCATTGACATATTTTTGTGGCATTGCAGTTTTTATCTACACACAAGACACACACACTCTTACCACATACAGACTCGTGGCGAGAGAGAAAGTTTATTAAAATCAACAAACAGACAACAAACAAAACCACATTCATGGGGAATTTATTGAGATGTATTGACTGAAATTCGCAGGGGCATCAAAACTATAAGCATACGAAAATATAAGCTGGAAAATGGCAAACGGCGGAGGATGCAAAATGAAAACCATTCACACATGTAGCATGTGGGAGCTGGGGTGGAATATTTGCGGTAAACAGAATACGGAACGGGGAACTCTTTCTGCACTGACACCGAAGATATAATTTCTCAGTAGTGAACGAAACGCCAAATTAAATCTTGTCCGCTGGTCTTTGAGTCTCTGATCCAGTCTCATAAAAACAGTCCAGAAATTATTTCAGATGCAATGATTTTTATGAATTTTAATCAATCTGTAAATCCAAAAAAATAAACCAAAAAAATAATCAAATCAGCGAAAATGCTGCAGTTGACTAAATAACAGCGAGTAAAAGGGAAACGGAAGGGGAAAGCATAAAGAAAATTTGCATGAACTCAGCTCCGACTGATGAATGCGTGGAAAATGCAAAACGTTCACCCTGAAAAAAATAAATATACGACGAATGAGAATGAAAATGGGAATGAACACTCGGAGAGAACATAATCATAATCGTAAAAAGTAAGTAGAATGAGCAGGCAAATGAAAAACCTCTCTCCCGCTCTCTCCCGCTCTCTAGCTGTCTCTCTTTGCCCTTTTTGGAAAAACAATTTTGAAATTTGCATAGAATTTGTTGTTGATGTTGTTGTTCTTCTTCTGGATTGCACTGATATGCCACGCCCTCGAATGGCGTGGGCAGGATCTGGCGCTGACAATGGGCGACAAATTATATGCAATGACAAAAATGTATCACAGACCCGTGAGGGACAGAGGAAGGGACGGAAGAGGGCGAGAAAAAACCCAGGGACAGCATGCAAAAACATGTCGCCATGTGAGTGACACTGTCCCCCAGGGGGTGGCTCACCCCCAGACTCTGCAGGGCTTGATGGATGTAGCACAACTTTATGACGTGTGTGTGTCAGTCAGAGTCCCCGGGAGCTGGGCCCTGGTGGGACCTGGGACCTCTCTCGCTTTGATAGATGTTCTTTTTTGGGTCTCCCACTCTATGAGTATGAGTACCCCCCACTCATACCATCATCCTTCCGAATGATTGCTTGGGAATTATAAGCAGTGCACCAGGTTCGGCCAACACTTTGATTCCTTTTTCGTTGCTTTTGATTCGAGAGACTGTCATTATGTCTTTCCCCCACAGCTAAATTGATTTTTTATTCCAACTTATGTTCCGTTTTTTTATCACGATGGATACACGCAAAAAAGGTAACAAATATTAGCATGGCTTGTGGCATGAGGGGGAAACGGGAAAATCCTTGGCTAACAAGTTGATTTCCATATGCGCAACCTAAGTGACAGACAATAGAGAGAGGGATCGAGTGGGAAGGAAGGAAGAGAGCGTCCTCACAGGACCTTTCACATGATGAATAGTTCCAACGAGACGAGACGAGATAATTAGACAACGAAATTGATTGATTTATGGTTATTGGATACGCTAAGGCGGAACGAAACGGAGGGAAGCTCAAATATTGCTTAAACTGTTCGAAATAAATTGATATTTTATGGTAAATGTTTGCCACTGGAATTGAGTTGCCAGAACACTGAAGAAGTCGTATAAAATCGAACTTTCCCTAGAATATTAACAATGAATTATGCCATTCGCCCTCGACTGTAACTACACTATCAATCGAAGCGAAACACTATAGAAATTGCAAGTTTGTACTCAAATATCCTCACAGTTTCAATCCCTAAAAAATCTTTTGACCCTTGCCCAAACTTCTGTAAGGCTTTAAGCATATTCCTTCCCACATTCGCATTCCTCTAGCGACTTCTGACACCAAGTAAAGTATGTACTACAATGCGAGAACTATTTCCAATATTAGTTTAGAGCTCATCCATGCTGGAGGCATTCATTTATTCCACCGAGTCAAAGGAATGAGACACATCGAGGCATGTCAGGACATTCCGGAATATCAAAGGGCAATTCTAATAATATTTGAAAATTTCATTTGGTCTCTGGTATATGTATGTATGTCCTACCATCTATGGATACATTCAGATTCCAAGGCTTACAGCTTACAGCTCCACCCCGTCTGCCCATCTGCCCGAGTGCTCATCTCCTCCTGCTCCGCCATCAAGGTAGCATCCTCCTTGCCAAGAGCGCCGCAGGGTGCTGGATGGGGATGTGCGAGGGTGGGGTGGCTTGTGCATATGTTTTGCCAAGTTTATTGAAAAATATGCACTGACAGGTAATATGTCAAAGCGTGGGATTTGCCAAAGTGCCAAACGACCTCCTCCTGCCACTCCGACCCTCGCTGTCCCCCGACCCCCTTGATAATAGACTTGGTGGAGGAGCAGCAGGATTCAGTCGTTTCGCCTGGGAAAGATGTTTGCTTTCAGCTCTACTTAAAGAAAATATGGCAGCACTCAGCGAAGGATAACAAAGGTGGGCGGCTGCCTGGTAGCAGAAAGATGGAAATGGAGGGGCGCCCAAGGTAGCATAGGGGCTATGCTACGTACAGTTCCTTATGATTTTCAACGAAAATATTGGTTCAAAAACTTACTGTGAAAAGGCAGCTCGCCACGCAGACCGCCGCCCAGGATCCCACCCAGTAGCGGAGAACGGTCCGCTCTCGCTCCGGGAAGAACATGGCGTGGCATGGGGCCCCGCAGTCATGGAGATCCTGCAGAGAAATAAAGGAGATACAAATGAGTATATGTATTGCTATGGACGCAAAGGGAAGCCTACAAAGAGGGAAATTCATTTGCTGGCAGCGATTAATTAATAAGGCTTAAATTAATTGTGGGAAAAATGGGATTGTGGGTTGTAATTAAAGGGGATTAAAGGAGGAGACTTATGGGAAAGGAATATGAATGAGTGCCGTGGAGTGGGCTTATGTAATGAGCACAGAGGATATGTACGCAGACAGCTTAACGGATGGAGAGATACATATATATTTCATTTTTATATGGAAAGATTTACGTACATATGTACATACATGCATTAATGTATATGTGGATTACAGAACCTACAAACAACTTTATCAAGCCTCAATTGTTCCATTTTTCTTTAAAAAAAAATACATTATTTTGAGCTAAAAGATTTATCGGGAAAGGGAGCTTTTCTCTCAAATAATTTTAATTTGAATTAAACTACTCTTTCCTGCAGATTCCAAGCCTAATTCCACTCCTCAAGTATAATCATCTTAGCGCCAAAAATATAGTATTACTCGAAAAGTAACGAAATATTAACAAAGATTTTGAAAATTATTAAAATACATTTTCCAGCTTCAGGGTGGAATCAACACACAGAAATGTCAACAGGGAATACTTCTGCAACCCTCGGGGTAAATCTCATCACAATAACTGCAGTTTAATGAGATTTGCCCGAAACAGGGACGGCACCGACCCGACTCAACCTTGAACTCCAAAAACTGAAGGAGAAATCAACCCCCACAAAATTGCATTGCTGGGTACGAAGTGTGGCAACAATGCAAACGGACGAAAAACAACGAAACTGGCAGACAGACGCCCCAAGCCTCGTTCTGTGGAAGTGAGAGAGAGAGCGAGAGAGAGCGAGAGAGAGAGCGGAGAGAGAGCGAGAGAGAGAGCGCGAGAGAGGCCGAGATGAGTGGAGTTCTGTTCTGGCGCATTGTAAACCGCAGGAGATTTGAATTTTAGATAGCACGACACGCACGCACACACAGGCAGGCAGGCAGGCAGGCAGGCTGGCTGGCAGGCTGGCGGCTGGCAATCGAAAACAATTGGAAAGAGGAAGAGAGGCCAATGAAGAAGTAGTCGAAGCTTGGGATACCCTGCAGCATGGATTGGAATTGTTTATCTGCAAAATAGATAAATATAGATAAAGACGCCCAAAAAGGTATCAAATCTGAACCGAAAAAAGTATTTGACATTTAAAAGTTTCTTCATCAGGTACAAATATTCATTAACTTTATCTGCTAGGTATCACAATTTCGTGGCTGGCTGTCGGAGAGCGGGGAAGAGTCGTTCCGACTCAGACTGACAGTGACTGCAGGTCCTCCCCCTCCCTCTACCCACTGCCACTGCCACTGCCACAGACCGAACCAACCATCCGGCTGAGACTGAGAGGAAACAGAGCAACAGAAGCCGTCGTCAGTCTCTCTGTCAAAGAGCAAACTCCACCAAAAGTGTTGTCTGCCCCTGTCTGTCGTACTCGTCCTCGTCCTCGTCCTCGCCCTCGTCCCTGTCTGGGTACTGGGCCTTATTTCACATTCCCATTAAAAATTTAAAATCCTCCTCCCCCCACGGCTATCCCGCTCATCGTTTTTGGCAATCATCGTTAGGTTAGCGGCGCAAATTGCGTTTCTTCCTCCGAGGGAGAGAGAGCCAAAGGGATGGCAGGAGCCAATGCTAATGCTAAGCAAGGGCGGTCGGAAAGAGACGGCACCAGCTGAACGCTGGGGGAACAATATTTACGCATATTTGAGACGCATAAAGCAACAGATCCGCAACAATAACACAAAGCTGGCGAAGAAAGCGACGCCCGAAGAGGGGTGGGGACCGGGGCTGGGACTGGGGCTGGATACTCCTCTAAATTGCCCGCAGTTCTTTTTTTGCGTAGTCCATGGAGAAGTAGCCACATTTATCTGAAATTATCCTTCAGGCTTAAGCTTCCTGCAGCCAAGTCAGCGTTGAAAATTTAAATTTTAATGAACTCATTTTGAGGGATTGGTGGGGGCCGGAGGAAGAGAATGAGGCGGATAAGGAAGCTGAAGAGACAATTGGGTGAATCCAAGAAGCTTTAAGGGATATTATTTCGTTATCAAAAAGACATTTTCAACTAAACGAAATTAAAGTCTCTCAGCGGACAACGTACTGCAAGAGTTCCTCTGAAAACTCAACAAATTTCTATATAAAATATCTTATTTAGTACTTTCTTTTAAACACCTAAACACATCTCGGTAAACCTGTTTCTCTCACTAGTGGAGTTTTCCTTCCAAGTACTTTATTTATTTGAATAGCTTCTACCTTCTGCCTCCTACCCCGAAAAAAAAATAATGAAATTACTGTTGCTAAATGGAAATCTCAGCCATATCATCATATTCATCATGCTCGATTCCATTGACGGATGCTATCGCAGTTGCCGATCAAGCGATCGCTTCCTGTTCCACTGCTCCATCGATCTATCTTTATTACCAAACAAAATCAAACAGACGGCCTGGCCTGGCCTCTTCTATGGGTAATTGCAGTGGACTCCTGCCCCTCACCCACTCCACCTCAGCCACTCACCACTGCTTACAAGAGAATGCCCCAACAGCAACAACTAGTTGCAACATTGAGCACAACAAAAGGAGTCCAGAGACTGCATTGTTAGGCCCAAGTCGGAGTTGGAGGAGTTGGACTCCGAGTGGCTTGGTGCCGTCCCTTTTCGGCCTGATCTGGTCTGGCTCGGGGTCTAGGGTCTGGCACTCGAGTCCCAGTCTGGGGTCCCATTGTCTTGCGATTTTTATGAGGCATGTATAAATAATTGCGCCCAAAGGCCGCCGACATAAGTTTTCATGCCGGCCGCGTGAGCATCCGACCAGGAGCAGCAACAAAGGCCGGACAGCCGACTAAAATGCCCTGGAAGCCCTCCCCTCCCCCGCCCCTCATCTTTCTACACTCTGGATCCACTCCCCCCGGCCCAGACCAAAGGGGCGCGATTCTACAAGAACAAAACAACACATAAAAAAAATAATGTTTCAGTTTTTGTATTTTTGGCTGGAGGCCACAAATATAATGCAACAAAAAAGATGGCAGACATTGACAATGGGCCGAAGGGAAGTGGGTGGAGCCGTAGAACCAGAGGGGGGAGAGATAGTGGCGTGGAGAGGAGAGGAGACCGAAACGAAGTTATGCCAACATTTAAGGAGTTTTTAATTTATTGCAGATACATTTTATGCCCAGCGCGAGTTATGAAAGGCCAAAGGGCAAGAGTGGTGCAGGGGTAGGTAGAGAGGCAAAGGGGAAGAGAACTCTTCCAGCTGGCCGGCCCTCCATTCCATGCTTGAGTTGGGGGCGTGTTGATGATGATGGTGGAGATGCTGAAAATTATTAAGAGCCGAAACGTTAAAGCAACGGAAGAGCCAGTCATCCTGTGGGATACAGTGGGGCGAATTGGAGAGAATCTTTACAAAATAAGGTACTGGACCTGGTACCTGGACTTGGACCCAGCTTCCTCTATGAAGACAGTGTTCAGAGTAATCTTGCCCTTCGCTCCTCTCCGCTGACACAGCATCTACATATGGTATATGCTGCGCGTATTCCACTGTCCGCCGAGAGCCAAAAACCTTATTCGAAGACACTTCAATTTTAGCCTTCAGTTTCAGGCCAATCCCCCACATTCCTCCCTCTCCTCTGTCTATTGACTGCTCAGACAACCCTCGGACAGCGTTAATGATGACTCCCCCGCCCCGTACTCGTTCAGTTGCATGTTTGTGTGTATTTTTGGGGGTGTTGCTGACGTTGTTAAAGTCAAAATAGACAGAGCAACAGACAGCACCACACAGACACAGCCATAGAGATAGAGAGAGAGAGAGAGAATTCGATTGTCCTAAGGGTTGATTTAAGCAGGAAGGAACAGGCATAGCCGGCCGATTGAAAGGCCCAAAGGACAAGCTGCCAACTGTTGTTGTTGTTTCTCTCTTCTCTCTTTGCTGTTATTCCTCTGCTTGCGCTCCTCTTGCAACACAAACAAAGCAGAAGAAGAAAAACCCCAGACAGACAGACAGACACAGAAAAAAAAACAACAATTTGAATTCAATAAGGATGCGACGAAAGAGAGGGAGCAGAATACCAGGAAGTGTTGTTCGGGCCCCAAGGCGGGTCAGACGTTCAAATGGACACACACAAAATAATAATAATAAAAAGGAGTCAAAGAGCCAAAAAGCACTTTTCACACATTTCCTTGCTGACCGCAGCACAATGCTCAAAATTCCTGCCCATAATTTATTAATATTATTGGCCGGGGTCACCGGCCTCCCCAGCCTCCCTAGCCGCCCCTAGCCACCCCAGCCTCTTCCTTGTACATACAAAGGCCCCCCGCAAATTACACATGTCGACACTTTATTAAAAGCCAACCAAGGGCAGACAAAAAAGGGTTTTAAGGATTCTGATTCGATATTGGAGGATTTCTCCTCGTATTCCTCCTCCTCCTCGTATTCCCTTTATTTTTTTGTGAGCATTTTTTGCGGTCTGCCAAAAACGAAACTGATCCCGGGGCCATAAAATGTCGACCCGTCCATATGTTGGTTGGGTTTTGGGCAGTGGAATGGGGGACGAGGTTCAAAAGGAAGAGGAGCAAAAGAGGAGGGGGACTGGGAACCCGAGGCCCAACAACTTTTAGCGCGATTTCCTTTTTGCCCATGTCCATGCTGGGGCTGGGGCTGGGTCTGCGCGTTTAACCCTTTCAGAGCCAACAAGAAACAGAAAAAAAAAATGCTGTTAAGGTCTACACTTGACTACATGCAAATTATGCCTCCAGCGAGGGCACAAAAAGAGACCAAAAGAAGGATAGAAAGGAGAGAAGGGAGAGAAGGGAAGACTCTGCGCATCCGCCTTAACCCTCTGGCTACCCTGTCCAAGTCCAGGTCCAGGTCCACCCCTTGATTGCAGCCCATGTAATTTTAATGGATATTTATAATGAGCATCTGTTTTATATTTT